CTTCCCCGGTTCCCATTCTTCACGGGGTTAGGCCTGTTCTGGGGCGACACCCTTGTGTAGGGAGCCCTGAGGACATTGTTGCAACTCATTCTCTTGGCTTCCTTAGTAATGGTAGTAAATGTGGGTCGGGTATGAAAACTGGGGAGAGAGTTAAGTCGCCATCGAAACAAGTCTTAGGTAGTGGTCACAATGGAGAGAAAGATAGATCTGTTGGGAGTAGATCGAATGGAGGTGCAAAGGAGGATCAATTGGATAAGAAAATGTCTTCTTTGAAACCTCAATTGATTAAAACCGAGATTGAGTTCTGATACGAAAAAGGAACCTTTGGGGAAATCGAATTTTCATAGTTCGAGATCAATTCCATCTTCCCCCACAAGTTGCTACTCAGTTCCAGCTTCGTTTGAGAAGTTCGCCACTGGTGTTAAGAAGCAGGCAGAAATAAAAGGGCAGAGAAAGGGAAGTCCCAAGGTGGGATCCGTGGAGAAGCCGAGTTCTTTCCATGGGATGGGTCCGACCAGAAAAAGGGCACCGGTGATCAAGTCTTTGGTTCAAGGGATTGAATTAGGGGCCAAGGCTTTGAGAAAGAGCTGGGAAGGGAATATGGAAGTGAAGGGTAGGGAACATTCTAATCCGAGGGCTAGCAAGCATGACATCAAGCAAGAATCTTGGAGCACTTCGGTAAGTTTTTCTTGTTCGTGATTTTTAATTTGGCCGATCTGTTACTTTTAACTGAGTAAAACATTAGTAAGCTTAAAATACGAGATTATAGAATGGGATTGGTTTTTTCTCTTACATCCATTTCTACTGGTTCATACGAGTTGTTCAAATTTTGTAGCAATATTTCCTCAAGGCCATAACCTATGATGATGCTTGAACTCTAGATTAGGTTTAGAATATGACATACATTACATGTATTACATGATTCTGTTTGATTTGTTGGTAATTTTGCCTGTTTTTCTTTAAATAATACATATTATTTCAAGCTGTTTTACTCTTATGTAATGATTAAAACCCGGAGGCCAGGTTCCTAGAAAGAGCACATAAAGCGAAAAGTTGATGTCCAAAGAGGAGACTAAGCTTCAAACATCTGCCCGGTCACTAAAAGAGGAAAGTAAATCTCCGGTTTCAGGTAAGATGTTGGATGAGCACGAAAAACCGAACAAGCCAAGAACTTACATTGTGAAGAAATCCGGAGACCTAACTAATAATGGTGGCCTGGGGAACTTGATTAAGGTTCCGATAAATAGTAAAAAATTGACAGATGCAAGTATTTCATGGGGTTCACTCCCCTCTTCTCTTTCAAAGCTCGGAAGGGTATGACCCTATGACTCTTTACATCGTGATAACATTCATAGTTTTTATAGGAAAATCTCTTAAGGGCTATCTTGTCGTAAAAAGGTTGCATCTCCTATTAACAAATTCCTAGTGAAGAAAAAATATGAAGTTCAAATTTAACTAAAACTAATTTATATGTGTCACTTCCTAGCATTTTGCAACATAGGTCTTTTGTGATTCTCATGCCAAATTTATGTTTTTGGTTACAGGAGGTCTTGACACATAGGGATGCAGCACAAACAGCGGCAATAGAAGCTTTGCAAGAGGCTGCTGCTACAGAGATCTTACTACGATGTTTAAGGTATGGCTACTTAATGATAAGGGAAATGTTAGCAAAGAAAATTATAGAAATTGGCAGTAAAACCCAAGTTTTCTTAGTTTCAAAACTAGGATAAAATACTTTCAATGTCTGGATTTTGATTGTGCGTAACTTATGTTTGTAATGTGCCAACAGTGGCGGATCTAGAAATTTAAGAATGGGGTCCAAAATTTTAATTTTCTTTTTTAAAAATAACGGGTATGCAAAAATTGTAATTTTTTTTTTCTTTTTTCCTTAACACATTAAGCTAAATTTAACCATTTTTTCAAAATAATGGGGATGCACTTGGCCCCTATGGGGGCTTAGTGCATCTGCCACTGTGTGCCAATGACGATAAGTCCATCATGTTAGTATTACTTCATGAGAGAATTTATGGAGTCAACGGGAAAGTTTTACGTTATAACACTTTCCATGAACAATTATTTCTCTTTTGTTTCCGGTTGTCTTTGATCTAAGTACTAGATAAGAGTAATTCAGTATCTAATTATTCGGTTTCTCCTTTAAGCTCAGCTGCTAACTATACACTAGTGAGTCCCAGTCTGGCAGTCCTAATATTATAGTTTGATTGCTTAGCAATCTTACATTAGCAACTCTTATCTTGGCTTCATGGGGTTGGAACCAGTCGAGAATAGAGGGTCTTCTCCAGTCATAGCAGCAAATTTCTTGCTTTTATAAGTGTGAAGAAAAACGAAGTATTTATTCCTTCATTGACACAGTTAAAGTCCGTAATAGGCACACGTATCTCATCTCAAAGGGACAATTGAGAACTAAATTGTGAAATTTTACCTCGACAGTCTTTAGGAAATTTATACATTTAGTACTATTAAACTCCACAAGCAAAAGCGGTCACAAATTCCCAACTTCTTTGGCCTTCATGTCAAAGTACTACCACAACGGGGTTCTGTAGATTCCTCGGTAATGGCATGACCAGCTTTCTCTTCCATACCCAGAAAACAAGTTCCATACATCACTGTTGTGCGTGCTGTAACTAAATGAGTGAGGTTTTGTTGTTCAATAAGAGCTATTATGTTTGGTTTTTCGTTTTAGTTCTTCAATAGACTTTGTTTTCCATCTCGAACATACGGTGTTCTTTGTAGTAGGTCTTAGTGGATTCTATGTGATTGAGACCTGGAGAAAGACATTTAGGATGGTGCATGTTGGGACACCCATAGAAACCTCGCCATGAATTTAGGCTACGTAACATAGTGTGGACTGATTCTGGGTATTTTGGTCGTATTTGACGACATGTTTAACAATTGTGGGTAGATCATTTGTGACTGAATTGTTCTATGCTTTCTTGCATGACATTTTGGGTATGCCTTCTTTTTCTTGCAGCTTATATTCTTGATCTTACTGCTTCTGCCAAGGAAGATAATTCTCAGCCTGCAGTGGATCAGTTCTTAACACTGCATGCAAGCTTGAATCATGCTCGGATGATTGCAGATTCTTTATCGAAAACTATACCTATTGGTTCGTCTCCGGAATCTGAAGGAAACCCATCAGAAGAGGCAGTGAAGGTCACATCGGATAGACGGAAATATGCAGCTTCATGGGTGCAAGCTGCATTGGCTACCAATCTATCGACCTTCTCGGTATTTACCAAAGAGCATAATTCAATTTCCGGTCATGCTTCAGCTTCTGCTCAAAGCCAGAAGGCTACCCTGCCATTCAAAACATTTTAATTCTAGAAAATTCTGCAAAAGCCCAAGCAAAAACCCGTCCTGTAATCGGTTCTAAGCTTGTGGCACAAGGTATTCTTCGAAAAGCAGGGGATGTTTCAGACCTTGGTCCGAAAGTACTGGTCGAACTACCACCGGAATGGACAAGGGGAAAAGGCCTTGACGAGGCCGTTGACTTGGCTGAAATGCTACGAATGGAATCCCAGGACTGGTTCTTAGGATTTGTGGAGAAATTCTTGGATGCCGATGTCGACACATCCGCTTTATCCGACAGTGATCAAATAGCTGGGATGTTGACACAGCTGAAGAGAGTCAATGACTGGTTAGATGAAATCATTTCGAGCAAAGACGAAGGAGGAGGAGGAGAGATGACTCCCCATGTTTCATCCGAAACAATTGATCGGCTAAGGAAGAAAATATACGAATATCTTCTAACTCATGTTGAATCTGCTGCTGCTGCTCTAGGTAGCGGCGCACCACCACCACCCATCCGAACTGCCGAAACGAAATCGAAAAAGTGACATGGGCAAGTAAAGAGTGTCAAGAACAGCAGTGAGGCCTGCTTAAGTGCTTATACTAAATCAACAGTTGTGAATATAAATCCAACGCGGGTCTTGACTTTTGAGGTATAAACACAGTAGTCAATATCAAAGGAAAAGTTTTGCAAGTTGCATTTGTATTTGTTGCCTTAAATTAAGAACCAGAGAAAAACTTGGTTCCATTGACAAATGATTTCGGAACTTCATTTTCTAAAAGTTCGGAGCTATTAATTTATACAAAAATATGTCTATAATGTTTGATATTTTGATCTTTATTCTTATTTTTGGAGTATTTTAACTCATATTTCATTTTGAGTAAAAAAATTCCGATAAAAATTGTTAATAAACAAACGATTAAAATAATTATTTCAATCAAATGTCAAAAGTATTTTTTAACATTGCTTTTAATTTTTTATCCAATTATAAGATTTTTTGGTTAAATTATCGGTTTTTGATTTATTGCTCAACTATTTTGGATGTAGTTTTACAGGGTCTATTATCGGAGTGATCGTCTTAAATTAATTTACTACATCCGATAAAGTCAAAATTCAAACTCATAATTTTAATTGAGAGATTTAGTATCACATCCGACTAGATCAACTGATTATCGGTTTAACAATAAGGTTTTTAATAAACTTAATAATTAAATGTTGATATTAGTAAATTAAAAAGGGTTTAATAAAGGTGGGTGCAGCTAACAATGTCCCAGTCCCACAAAAGGTAATAGCAATCATGAACCAATACAGCCCAACTAAAACTTCCACGTGTGAATCATCCATTGACTCTAGTTCCTTTAAATTCTCACCGACAGTAACGTTATCATGAAAGCTTAATCGTCAAAATTAACTTGAAATAAATTATAAGCGTCTCCCAAGTATAATGACGGGTCGAAACAGAACATATATTTTTTTTAAATCTGTATGTAATTTTTATACCATCAAAAAATAAAATATTTAATAAATTTGTTGTTTATATTTTTATCAAGAATCTACTAATATGAAAATATTTATTTAAATTTTCTTTCCTTTTTTTTAACTAAAGAAGCTTTTGTTGTATTTGAACTGAATATCTCTCCTCCCCTCCCCCACATAAACAAACACATAATTGAGTGCCACAGACGCTTTCTCTCTCGACAGAGAGACAGAACTCTTAAGAGAAAGTAAACCCATTTTAGAGAGAGAGAGAGAGAGAGAGAGAGGAAGTTTTAACCAAATGCTCTCTAAACCTTCATCTGCCATGGCCTCCTTCCCTTGTTCCAGGGTTTGTTTCGTTTCTTTCATTTTGCATTTTTGTTTTTTCTTCTGTTGAATTTCTATCTTTTTTGTTTTTTTGGAAGAGAAATGAAAGTATAATGGTAAAGATCTGATTGTTACACCCTGTTGTAGCTAATTGAGGAAATGGGTGTTTTTGTATTGTTTTATTCTTTTTTTCTCAGGCCCAGAGTTGGCCTATTTTTGCTTTTTGGCTAGTCTTTTTTTTTTTTGTGATATTTGGTTTGGTTTTTGTGACATTCTTACTCATCTTTTCCTACTTCTATTGCAATCTTCCAAAATTCAGTCATGTGTTTTTCTGTAGTTTTACCTTAATAAGGACAATCAAAACTTGTGTTAAGAAAGGTAACCATTTTTTCCCTTCTTGTCACCATATGATATGAATCTCCTTTTGTGATGATACAAGCGAATGGGGTGGTATAGTGTATTTTGTTGCAAGTTTTTTCATGTATTTGGAGGATTGTACCTTTGCATACATGTCCAATTATCTATTGAACATAGATGTTTCAGGAGAAAAAGAATGAAAAGTGGGACTAACATGGCTTCAAGTCGTTAAAAGAAAGCCTTGGTTTCGATCTAAGCTTGAGTTTTGATAATTTTGTTTGTATTGTATGTGAAATTATTGATACCCCCTGTGAAATCGTTTCATGCAGAGTGTTGTTTTTTTTTTCCATAAAAAGTTAGATTTTGGTGGTTTACGATCTCGACTGTAACTACAAATCCTTTGATATGAAATTTCATTATTATTTTTCAGAGCTTCTCTAAAATCCGTTGATTGTTATTGCAGGAACTTTTTTCTTGATTATATGTTGGTTTATGGTATTTACATTTCAAAGCCTGGTTTCCAATGTTTTAGGTGAGGAGTGGGCTTTGCCTCTGGCCAGGCAAGAGGCAACTGTGCATTAGAGAGGGTCTTGTGTATGGCCTTATGCGCTTACTATCAATTCCCTTCAAAACCTTGCGTGGAGCGAGTCGCTCTCTTAGGGTTGCAGAGTTTTGCAGTGTTTCCAATATGTCTTCCTCGTTACAAATTGAATTGGTGAGCAAACCTCTGTCTATCTTTAATTGCATTTTTTTCACTTTTTCTTTTGCTTGACTGATTATTAACGAGACCTCCAATTTCTATCCAAAAAAATTATTAGCATTTTTTTACATGAAAAAAAGAGTCCTTTGATGACTTCTTGTTGTTGAAGGTTATAATTAATGGTTTTCATGAGCACTAGTTATGAACTTTTCACCAACACTTTTTTCTTCTTTTTTCAGGTACCATGTCTTGGAGACAATTATGCATATCTTTTGCATGATGTGGACACGGGCACAGTTGGAGTCGTTGATCCTTCAGAAGCTGTGCCAATTATCGATGCTTTGAGTCGGAAAAACTGGAATTTGACTTATATATTGAATACCCACCACCATCATGACCACACTGGTGGGAATACGGAGTTAAAAGCAAGGTATGGTGCAAAGGTATGGAAAACTTTATCTCCCAAGTTCTAACTTTTCTGATGTTAAAAAAAATTCTGTCACCTTTCAGCTCATATCAGATAATTAGTTTCCTCTCAAATTATCAGCTTATATATGGCGTAACTATTTGCAGTCTAATAGGCCTTTTGATCTTGCTCATAATGACCAAAATAATAATAATAATAATAATAATAATTGTGCTTTTTCATGTAGGTGATTGGTTCTGGAATAGACAAAGATAGGATTCCTGGAATTGATATTGTTCTAAATGATGGGGAAACGTGGATGTTCGCAGGTCACGAGGTACAAATCATGGAAACTCCTGGTCATACCCGAGGTTAGATCTGTTAGTCGATTCTGTTGGAAATCTCATTAATTAGATACTTTTATCATTTCAAAAGTCAGCGATAATGTCTCGATGTAGAAATTCATGATTGTGGTTCTGCATTTTGTGGTAGCTTGTATCACCTCATTCCCCTTTATTGTTTTTACTTTCTAAAATTTGAATTTTTCATATGCAGGCCATATTAGCTTCTATTTTCCGGGTTCTCGAGCAATATTTACCGGAGACACTTTGTTCAGCTTATCATGTGGCAAACTTTTCGAAGGAACCCCGGAGCAGGTAATCTCGACGTTTATTTTATCATATCATTGCTGACAGTGGACACCCTATGTGCAACTATTTCACCTCTTAATCTAAATGAGAAGCTCAACAACTTATTGCAACTTTAAATTGTCAACAGATGGTAAATAGGTTACTTTCTGGAGGAAATGAAATTCAGCTATCAAAGTGATGCAAATTTATTGTTGGGGACAATAGGATACGAAGTTCAAAATTGACTCATACAGTTTACTAGCAGTTGAATTTTTAAGGTTTAGAAGTAAAAAAAAAAAGTTTGCACGTCATTTGTTCTTATACGTTTTGCTTTGGAATTCGTCATTACAGTTTACTAGCAGTTGAATTTTTAAGGTTTAGAAGTAAAAAAAAAAAAGTTTGCACGTCATTTGTTCTTATACGTTTTGCTTTGGAATTCGTCATTTGTTCTTATATGTTTTGCTTTGGAATTCGTTATTTGTTCGTATACGTTTGGAGAATTGGTAGTTCCTTATAAATTGGGTGCACGGGAACATATTAACTGAAATTATAGTTGCTAAAAAAATAGTTGCTATAGCGGGGTCTTCATTTTCGTTACTTTTACGCTTCCATGTGTCATTGTGCAATTTTGGACATTGGTTTTTTTAATACCAACTGAAGGTTCATGGAGTTAAATTAAAACCAAATGAATGTAGATTTCTGGTAGTATATATCATGATTCTTTTATATTATGGCAAATCTTCTTCTATGTTTTGAATTTTGATACTATCATAACATCCGAACTCTATCTGGCAGATGCTTTCTTCTCTACAGCGGATTATGTCACTGCCTGATGAGACAAATATATACTGTGGTCATGAATATACTTTGGTTAGTCTACTTATTTTTGTACTCTAATCATTTAGTTTCCCAGACACTGTATTCTGAAAGGCTCTAACAATACAATTATACATGTATCCGTTTTGGCAGAGTAATTCGAAATTTGCTTCATCTATTGAACCCAAGAATAATGCACTTCAGGCTTATGCCACCCATGTAGCTCACCTTCGAAACAAGGGATTGCCTACGGTAATTTCAAATTGTTTTTTCTTTCTTAATTGGTTTCTTGGATCTTTTGAAGTTTAAAATCTTAACATTATGCTAATGAGTTATGCTACTCGGACTCTTCATTTTTCTTAAACCATCTATGTTTGACATTGGTGTTCAAGACATATTCGGGTACGGGAATTTGATCATTCAATTATGTGACAAAATATTTTAAGAATTTGAGCATATTTGTGTCAAAGCCACACATGGGTCTGCCCGTCCGAGTAGCATACCTCGTGAGTGTTATTAGATCATGAGATTTGTACAACATGACCAAGGTCTGATTGAGGCTTGGTAAGGTTTAAGGGTTCGAGACCACTTTATTTTGAATGGAAAGATTCAAGGATAAGTTGAATGTGATGTGATGTTTCAGATTCCGAGTACATTAAAGATGGAGAAGGCATGCAATCCATTCCTCCGTACATCAAGTGCAGAAATACGGAAGGCGTTAGAAATTCCGCTGGTGGCAGATGATGCGGAAGCCTTGGGTGTCATATGTCGAGCAATGGATAATTTCTAGTAGTACTTGCATACATAGCTACTAGCCTGCTACACATATATGATACTTCATTCCTGTTTGTGTACAGCTGAATTGATGATTTCTCTTCCATTATGAAATGATCTAAACACAACAAATGTTCATTATTTCCATGTCCATGTGCTTTATATTTTCCCCTTAATTTTTCCTTCTTTTGAAACTTAAATCTCTTAAGCAAATCTCTACAGAAACATTAATTACAATCTAGTTTTTAGTTTAAAGAAGAAAAGGGTCTCTTTAGCCTAAGGCTTCAGCTGCTACTACTAGCCATGGATTTCACCACCTTTCCCACACCATGAAATTTTTCTTCTCCAGTTTCTTGTTGAACAAACAGAGAATCAATATACCCTTTTGAGCTTGAAGCTGGTTCTGATGGACTTCTTTGATATATTATTGCAAGCTGTACATAGTTGCTCGAACTTTCATCATCAATGGCTGTCTTTCCCTTCCCCTTTCCCTTGACAACATAATCCTCTTCTACTTCAGAATCCAAAACATAGTCTCTACCACTGCTGCTTTCGCCTGAAGATGTATTGCTAAAAGTGAGGAAAATTGTAACACTTTCTTTCTTTGCCCTTCGGGAAGAATATAGCTCCTTGTTCTTCCACTGTATAATGGAACAGATTTCGGATTTGAAACTGTTTCGTCTCTGCCTAAACTGTAGGTTGTCGACAGCATTCTCTCGATGCCTTGCCTTTCTTGAACGAGTTTGCCAAGTTCTTCCATTGTTGCTTTGTCTGCTACTGCTCCCTCTGTAGCATTTTGCCCAAGCTCTGTAATCATGATATCAAATGCTTTCTTCTTATGTTGAAGGGATCTTTGGAACCCAAAATGGCATAACATTTAGTTTACATACTATTAAGCTCTTTTATCAATTGAAAGACAGAATATGATAGTAGATGTTTGGATTCAAACTCCAAATGTTGACATTATTCTAACCGTATTGGGATATGATCTCCATTCACATGAAAGATAATAGAAAATTGTTGAACATTACTGTATTGGTACATATTCGTATCTGACACTAGTAACTGGATATGAATAACATTAATAAAAAATGAGTTTTGACAGGAATAAAGTGTAGAACGTACTCGTTTTTCTAGGAAACGCCCAAGGCCTTGATCTTGAAGCTTCTTTTTCCTCCAAAAACACAACAGAACAGCACGACTGCAGCTAAAACTACCAAGAGTATGGACTCCACTAACAGGAAGAGATATATAGAACTTCTATTACCTGCAAGTGAAGGGATAATTTAGCTCTCATTTGATTCTAGAGGAACAACCGAGTTCACAGTCTGAGAATGTATAGCATTCGTGTTGTATTTCATAACGTAATTGGTTTAGTAAGTGTTACATAAATTTCAACGCATTGTGTATTCGTGTTGATTTAGTGTTATTGTATTTTTTATAGTGTCAAAAAGTGCAGTTACCAGTGTGGACAATAAGGTGCTTGCTTGTTCCTTGGGAGCAGCTGGATGAAAGCTTCAGAGCTGGTGACAGGTTCACAAATTTGTGTCAAAACAACTAATTAAGGAAACAAGAAAGCATGACGAAGAATTACCCTTGCTGCGACAAGGTAGCTGGTTGCCGATCTCTGCAAAATACGAAATACCAGCATTAAAGTTTAATGACACCATAGCTTGATTGAATATCTAAACAGTTTAAGCCATTCTGCTCAGAAATCAGAATATCATAGCTATGTGTTTATTTAGTTAAAGAAGCATTGAATTCGAACTTACATGCATACCCATATCTGATACACCCAAATCTGACTGACATGCATACCTATATCTAATACACACACCCAAATCCGACTTACATGCATGATGTTCAGTTGTTCACATCGAAATATTAGTTTAAAAAGCAATGGAAGTAAGACAAGTATGAACTGAAAGAAGCAAGTTATAGGAGCAGGTCGGTGAAACTTACTTGAAGCAGTGACAAAAGCTAGAAGCATGCCCTCGTCCACTACAACGTTCTGCAGATCACTCTTAGACAATGAAGAAAAAAAAGGGCCTGATAAGATGAACCATATAAGACGCTGAGAATGTAAATCCATTGAAGAATCCAAATAACGACGATTAAAAGAAAGATGTAAACCACCATGATTGCTTTCAGACCAGTAGATTTTTCCGGTAGATGGAACCATTAATGTGAAGACTGATCTTTTCGGTTTAATTGCAAAGACATGAGTGAATTGGTCGTTCATATGGATAACCTTTTCTTCCATTTCTATCTGACTAAAATAGGCTGCATAGCCAGAACAATCAAGGAAAATACTATATCGAATCACGGAATCTAATGCATCCGCTCTAGGAAATTTCTCGAGTCCTGTAGGTGAAAATGAGTATAGGAATCCATCCAGTGAACCAATTGTCACCCAACCTCTTGTTTTTGATCAGAAAGTAAAATATTCAAGGAGATCTTGATTGTTCATTCAGTAAATCGAGTAGCTTGAAGTAAATTAAATCAGCTATAAAAGGTTTGAAAGACAGAGAGGGTGATGCAAGTGACTCTTGAGAAGATATGATAGAATAGCTAGCAAGTGGAAGAGATTTTCAGTGTTAGTTTCCTAAACATATAAGCTACGTTATTCCGATTCTTCATTTTTTAAATGCACATGTTGAACATATCTGGATATAGTTATGAGGATATATTCTTCCGAAAGGATAGACAAACTAGAAAAGAATTAATATAAACATATCTGACACGCTGACAACCGAGTTGAATATAAGAATAAGAAAAATGAAAAGACAGTTTGCAAGACGCTAAGTTAGGAGCTTAAAAAGTTGATCTGGAATCGCTAACAAAGAGATTTTCAGTGTTGTTTTACTAGAAAATAGAAAGTAACAGTATGCAAAATCTGTGTTTGATGCAGATTCATTCATGATAAAACTAGTGTTGGACACATACTTTTAAGTTGCATTCCGCTTAGGGATGGACCGACGCATGCTTTAGTTTATATATTTTCTTTGTATTTTCTACTAATGATATAACTTTCCAAGTTCGTACCATCCCACACTCCTACCAGAGACTTAGTGACATAGAATTTAATAAAAAGAACTGAAAAAGACAGTTTGCAAGAATCTAAATTTGGAGGTAAAGAAGTAAAACTTGACCATAAGAATCAACCACCGGTGAAGATTCTGCAGAACTCAGTGGGCCAGTACTTGTCTGCCAGAGAACGTTCCCTGAAGAAACGTTTAGTCCCAGATCAAGAGATTTCTCTGGTACAGTAACGTATAAGAGGCCATTATTTCCTGGTGTAATGGTGTAAACCTTATCAAATGAATCCTGAATCCATGTAAGCTGTGGACTTCGAAACCACATCGAATAAAGTTCCCCTTCAGTATTCAAGATCTGCATATGCAAAAACATGAAAATATCATCCTAGGGGGCAAGCTACAATCTTATATTAAGAGATCTGGAATTTTATCAAACAGTTCGTAGGCTTAAAATGCTAAGAAGACCTTACATAAATACTAGCTTCACATTGAACAGTCACAGGGGCTGAAGCAAAAAAACAATCTGAAACAATTTTCCAGCAACCTTGCCTGTAGCCATACTGATCTAGCACAGGTCCAGTACTCCAAAGTAGCTGTCCACGCATCGAATAGGCAAACAAACCCCGATTTTTAACATTGATAATCACAGATGAATACAATGTGCTTACTGCAATCCCAATAATTTCATCTCCTCGTTCACCTTGGCCAGGATCAAACAGAACATTAATAGTAGGTTCTGAAGTTCCAATTTTCATGATATTGATTTGAAGTACCCTGTTTTCTGCAATCAAATAGATCTACCAATACGTGAAGAAATCATTAATTACTTCATTTTGAAAGAAAACAACTAAGTTGAAGTAGTGATAATTTTTGCTCAATTGGTACCTTTCCTCTACCTCCATGAACTGGGGCATTAGCCATGTTGCATTTGAAAGTCAAAGGTAATAACCAAGCAATGGAACCATTGTTTTCAAATGCAAATAACGTAGCCTCAGAACAAGCATAAATCCTTCCGCTATCTCCAATTAAGGGTTTTGAAAGTCTATCATCACCGTTTCTGAAACGCCATTGACCGTAAAACAAGTGTGGATGATGCGGGTAGCTAGGGAACCATGAGGAATGAGAAAACCCAAACTCGGGAACCATCATGAAGAGGAAGAAGATAAGGAAAAGAATTGCAGGCATTGAGAGATTTTAGGGGAATTTCCAAGATTTGAATTTTGACAGACAGGTTGATAGTATGTGAAAAATTAAAGAACAAAAACGGTTTCTTAACTGCCTGTTTCGGGCGGGAAAACATTGCAAACATACAGGTAAACTAAATTCTTTTTTCTCATATTGGGTACCTCCACATAATAATAATAATAAAATAACATTTTATTTGTATACTCAAGTCATGTTTTATATGAAACTCGTTTGAGTGTTATTATCTTGTAATCACCCAGAATATTAAAAAAAAATCATGTTTAATGTGATGATTTAGTTTTGTATTTGGGTGTCCAAAACTAGGAACTTTATTAGAATTAAAATGTATCTCCTTGGTAAGTTGCAAGGGTTTTGACAAAATAAATAATAACTTGAAACCAAATGTCAATTTTAGGAAGAAGCCACTTGCTGCTCCTGCAATGCTAGTGGAATGGCAGGCCTCCAACTTGTGCCGTTTGGGGAGTCCATCAGAGCAATTCCAAGAACAGCCAAATCTTTTCTAATTGCATCTGATTTTTCGTACTCTTTCTTCTTTCTTGCCTCGGTTCTTTCCTCGATTTTCTGCAATATTTCGCCTTCTGTTAACTTTGCCCTCTTCAGCGCCATTACCCTCAACTGCTGCAGTGCCTGCAGGTTCAGATAGTTTCATGGTGAATAAAATACAGGACAACAGCATAAGAGAGGAGATTATGCAATAGCTCATAAAATATTGATATCAAACACAAAAAATTTAGCTGTTAGTCTGCAACATGCACTATAGAGCAACATTTGACATCGAGTCTTTACCTCGCAATAACTTGTCGGCATCAGCCCCATTACATTTAGAATATTCCTGATTGTCTTTTCTAGAGCAGCGACCGATTCTATCCGCTTCGCCTGCTTCTTCCCCTGAAAG